CCGAGCCTTCCCGGGGGACGGGTGCTCGCCCGCCCGCGGCTCTCCGCCGGGAAAGCCGAAGCAGGAGTTTCCTCTCGAGCGGGGAGCGGATGCAGCGCGGAGAGGAGCAGATGCAGAGTTTCAGAGCCAACGCGAGCCTCCCTTCGTGCTCTGGCAGGGACTGTCGGTATTTCATCTTTTCTTACAGACGGACATTTGCTCCCCTGCACCCCCAAGCTTGGCGTACGTCCCTGCTGTGTGCACACAGTAAAGCAGGGGCGAAGGGAGGAAGTCAACAAGACCGCGCTGGCTTTGGGGCGTTCGCTTACTGCTAAGCAGTTTAACAGCTAGAACCACAAAAGCAGCCTAAGCATCGTCTGCTTCGCTTGGGACCACTCCTGTTCAGTTTCACTTGCAGGTGCTCAGTCCTTGCTCAGGCTCTCGGCTGAGGACAGCTGATAAAAACGCTACTGGATTTTAAAAAGCAATGTTTGTTGGAATTACTACTGCACTTTTTAATATTTTGGACATTTAACCTACAGTTTCATTAAAGGGACAATTTGCTTAAAGCTTTATTTACTGTTTATGGGTTTTTAAAAAATTCTTCAGGAAAATACCAGAAACCTCACTGAGTTCCACTGTGCACGAAGATTAATTGCTTACTCACTCTTAACTACCATAAAATAGGATCGGGCTTTTCATTCTTAGGTGTTTTGCTTGTGTTCTGGTATCTATTAATATCAACACTTTTTAAAATAAAATGCATAGGGAGACCGCATACACTTCTCTGATTTAGTACAATGTTTATACCATCATTTGCTACTAGTTTTATCAATGGCACTTTTTTATTTTAAAGTATAAGGACTTTCTCATACCATGAAGTTTCCACAGACACTAGACAACTGTTCTGTACTCCATGCAAGTTCTCTGGACTGAGGACTGAGCCCTGGCTGTGGTTGACACTAACGAACTTTTACTGGGACTTGTCCTTTCAGGAACCTCAATATTTATATCCTGCTCATTTTCCTCAAGTCAACAGGGTGTTTCTGGGAAAATATGACTGGACTAATCAGTAACAAAGGTGTTGCTCAATAATCACTTACAGGTAGAAAGGGGTTTTCTGTTCTTGATAAATTCAAAGCCATTATGTCAAGTTCCCTTCTTTGGTAGAACCATGTAACAAATAACCCAAGTTATGCACTGAAACATGTGTGTACATCTATGTAGATACACAAGCATGCAAAGTTCACAACATTTACATTTTTTCTATCCTTAGAACAAATGCCTGGATGTGATTATTAGGAACAATGCCAGTACACAAGCTCTGTGTAAAACTCAAAGACTGTATGCTGTTTCCATCAAGTTTTCTGGAAGGCAAGACAAATTTTCCCATTAAAATAAATGGAATGAGAAACATGCTCAGTTACAATTTTTCTCAAGAGTGTGTTGGGCAGGAAAAATTGAGGCATTGCTTTCCCATGTATTTGTGCTCAACCTGCGTCTATCTTTCAGCGAGGTAGTATAATTTATCAGAAATATAAATGTACACCACTAGATGAATTCGGAAAAAAGTAGTTGATGCATTTTGAAGTTACAGAAACCTGACATTAAAGTGTTGACAAACTAAATCCAAACTGCATGCAATGGCTCTGCCTTGCTCATATCTATTGTTGACTTTGTACACAGTACAAGAATGATTTTGTTCTGTTTCACTGGATTGTAAAATGTTTCATCTTTTTTCTGTTACTGAAGCCCAGTCCTATAAGCATGTAGACATAGATGCTCATATTACATGTTAAAATTGGTGAAAATGCTTCCATATATTTTTGCAGAAAAGGAGTATTTGTTTTTCCAGCTGTTAGGACCTGTTTCCAAGCCCTTTAAGTCCCGCAATCACCCTTCAGTTAACTTTGATGGGCTTTTCATCAATGTTAGTTGTACAATATATTTAGAATCAAGTTCAAAGAATTGTTAAACAAAAAACAAAATTTTACTTGCTCAAGTAGCTTCATTGCACCTCAAACCTAGCTGAGTAGCTTCCTTCCTACAGTCATATTCCAACTAAAAATACCCCTACTGTATTCCAATATTAAAGCAAGTTATGACTAAAGGTAGAGATCAGACAGTCAATAAAACATGGATGCTTGATATCAGTGGAAGATTCTACAGATCTTGATTTATCACCATGTTCATCCAGTGTTAGGGTACTATAACTACAACATGGAAGTTGCCCATTTTCCTCTATGTTCTACATACCTTTTATTAACACTCCTGATCCCAAATTATGTTCAAGAACATTTCTGCTCTGCATTCACCTAAGAGAGTAAGGCATTCGTAGCCAGGACACAGTCCAAAACTTGGTGCAGCCCAACACACACAGCTAGGTCCTGAAGTTCTAAGTCTGGGTCATTAAAAAAAAATAAAATAGTTGCTTAGAAGGTTCATTAAGCTAGAAAATAAAACCTCCATCTGTTCCATTAAAAAAACAGTATATCTTGGTTTTAGTGTTACACTGAAAAATTGTGTTTAAAAAAGTGAAGTTCAGTAATTCCCTGCAAGTGTTCCCTTCTGAATAAACATTTTTCATAAAATCACACAACTATAATTAATTCTGGATACACAAGCACTGATGCACATGTTAACCTCTAGTAACCAAGTAGGTTGAGCCAATCTGACAGTTCACTGTGGCAGCCCTCTGATGTGCTGGGAGTTAAGATTTCAGAGCCAATTACTGTGGAAATTATGACCTGCAGCCCAAAACAGCAGAGTTTTTCCACAGAACTAGACTTACAGTAACCACACCAAGATCCTTTTTCACAGTCACATGAATATACATAAAATTGCAACCACAAAGATGTTTAAATGAATATTTGCTACGTAAGTGATGTGTGAGCACTTAAAAAACAGGCAATATGTCTTCCAAGAACTCTTTTGGATGCTAGGTTATGTCTCATGCTAAACAGTGAGCATTATAAGCAAGTCTTAACAAGGATCAGTTAGATGTGTGAAAATATACAGAGACACAACAATAGACTGATATTTTTGCTTACCTTGGAATTTGTTGCCCAGTTGCCTCTGAATTCACTATTGGTTGCACGGCTCTGGCTTACTCCAGTTTAAGCCACCATGTTTACTGTCTGGATCCTTCAGTAGTCTGGAACAGTCCTTTCTATCTAGCTTGGACTGAAGTTTTTTTTTTAAAAAATAAATCAAAAGAATACTCAGCTACTAGCATGAGTCCATCTTTTTGTATATTGCATCTGGAAGTGAGGTAAGAGGAAGTGTTTTCTTGGATTGATCTTGCAAACGCTGCTTGGAGGGAAGGGACTCTTCAAGGTATTCACATCAGAAAACATGAATGAACCTGGAAAAAATGAAGTGTAAAAATAAGTAATTTATTGAATTAACCTCAATATAGCCATTTTACTAAGTGCATAACTACATCTGCTTTGTTTTTCCTTTTAATATATTTGTTTCAGATGTGAATGGCAGTATGAGATGCAGCAATGACCAAATTAGACATCTGTCCCCACTCTGGAAGTAATTGGATCTTAATTTCCTAGCAGCAGTGTCAGTCAAACAGTGCTTTGCGAGGCTGGGCTTACTAGTGCTACTCTCACATAACACACTTTTGATAACAATAAAAGTCAGCAAGGGCTCCTTTTAAAAAAAACCAACTCTGCCTTATGAAGATAAGATGTCCTGGTTTGAAAGCGTCAGGACCCTGCCCCATATCTTACAAGAGCTTTTGCTGTGTGATCTGGCTGCCAAGAAAGCCAGTGGCATCTTGGGGTGCATTAAGAAGAGTGTGGCCAGCAGGTCAAGGGAGGTTCTCCTTCCCCTCTACTATGTCCTAGTGAGGCCTCATCTGGAGTACTCTGTCCAGTTCTGGGCTCCCCACTTCAAGAAAGATGAAGAGCTACTGGAGAGAGTCCAGTGGAGGGCTACAAGGATGGTGAGGGGACTGGAGCATCTCTCCTATGAGGAAAGGCTGAGGGAGCTGGGCTTGTTCAGCCTGAAGAAGAGAAGGCTGAGAGAGGACCTAATATATACTTACAAATATCTGCAGGGTGGGCCTCAGGAGGATGGGGCCAAGCTCTTTTCAGTAGTGCCCAGCAAAAGGACAAGGGGCAATGGGCACAAACAGAAGCACAGGAAGTTCCACCTGAACATGAGGAAGAATTTCTTCACTCTGAGGGTGACGGAGCACTGGAACAGGCTGCCCAGGGAGGTTGTGGAGTCTCCTTCTCTGGAGATATTCAAGACCTGACTGGACAAGGTCCTCTACAGCCTCCTGGAGGTGACCCTGCTTCGGCAGGAGGGTTGAACTAGGTGACCCACAGAGGTCCCTTCTAATCCTTACCATTCTGTGATTCTGTGATCTACCTTTCTGCTGCCCACAGACCAGGTGCCAAACACCCCTATTTGGAGGCTGCGAGTAGCACCCCAGTCCCCAGCACTGCACAGCCGGGGTTTCTGCATGCAGACTTGCATTCATCTGCGTGCTACCTTTGAATTTCATACAGGGCTTTGCCTCGCCTCTCCTCATCCAGATTAAT